TGCATTGGTTTTAGAATCTATAATCTGATTGGTTGATCATCGACCTGCTTTAGTCATACATTGCGCACGTATAGCTGTATATATATATATACACACATATATGGGCTGTTCATGATAGCTGGTGCATCGGTGACTTTTGTTGGCATATCTGAATTGGTGAAACTTTTGACACTTCGAGACTTAACAAATACGAGTTGAATAAGGAATTTCTGTCTGATATATAAAAAGAACTACCAAAAAGGGCGCAAAAAGAACGCCGACAGGTACCAAGGGGTCCGGTAAAAGACAGCAAGAGAGAGAGAGAGATTAAAGCTAAAGACATTAAGAAGCAGAAGTTGTCGTGAGTCCAGAGTGGGGGACCGGTAAGACATGTGTATGTCTGTGTTGTCTTGTCTTGTTTACAGTGAATTGCCATTTGCAATACAACAAACGGTTAATCTGTATTTTATGTACTTTTTGTAAATATAATCGGCACAACTATATAACTTGCTACAAAAGAATCATTTTCTACATGTTCGGTTGGGCCAGGTGTTTTCGTTAGCGTTAGTTTCCCGTTATATTCCTATATGTATTTAAACCGAGTTCCCTAAAGTTTTGTAATTTGCCTACGTTGCGGATGTTTGTAAAAGGTGCCCTCAAAACGTCTTACGCACATCAATTATTATTTGTTAGAGCCAGAATCAATGCAGAACCAAACAGGGAAAGAAATCTACCTTAAATTTTCAAAGGAAAAACACGCACGACATTCTGTGAATGATCAACGTCGTCTGAGGCAAGATTTTACTTAGTTTCGAATATAATAAGGGAATAATGAAAACAACATTTATTCATTGAAAAATTAAAAAATCCAAATAAAACGACATAAAATATTCAAAAACTCCGTCAGCAATCAAAATGAATGAAAGAAACACGAAAGAATCGTGCAAAAGAAAATTGAATATGAAACAAAATGTTCCAATATACATTTATCTAGCGTCATTTTCCGAAACTGTAGTGCGATGCAGAAAAAAAGGAACGGGAGGATAATACTATATATGAATTTCGATAATTTCATAAAGCCAAGACCATTAAAAATGGCTATGGTCAGTTGAACGCCGCAAATGTACAGACCTCCGGATAACCAAGAACGCTGCCCTTGTCCAGCTCGTGTCCAGCGGCGATAATTAAACGCTATCGATAGTATATTTGGTTTTTGTTCTTAAAGCAAACCTAGACAAACTTAGATGTGAGAAGGATTAGATGTCGTTTGTCGGAAAGAAGCTTAGATGGAGAGCTTGACGCTATCCAACGCTGGAAGTGGCGGTCGGAAGACAAAACCTGGGACGTGATTATCAGATTTTCGCGTTTATTTGTAGATATTGTTCTGATAATTTGTCTCCCACGTCGTAACTTCAACGGCTAGAAAATGGCTCAGTGTTTAATATGTCTTCCCCCTGAGGCTGCTTTCTGGAACACTAATCTGGCCGGTGTTAACGTCAATTCAATATGTTCTGTACAATGTTGTCGTTCCTCATTTTGGCCACACTAATTACAAGTAGAAACCAGTTTTTAACATCCAGCTTCTCTACTAATTCGATGCCCTTGATTATTTTTATTTTTTCCTGATTTTGTTACATTATTTTTTTCTTCCAGATTTGTGTCACCTCTATTAACCTTCAGTGCTGGTTCAGATAATTACTCCTTCCTTTACAATCGGCAATTAAAGCATTAACTTATTTTAGGACAGAAATGACATAAATTAATACACAGGTTGGTCTGTGCGCCACGGTGCCATGATCAAGGAAATCAAATTAAAAAAAATATATGATTTCATATAAAATCTTTAATGGGTTTTTTTTTTCTGACAAAAGCGGTGAATTGTCAGTGTACCACTTGCTTATATTTACTCTGAGAACAATTTGGTTAATATTTTCATTTACCTTTGGGTTGAATGTCGATTTTTTTATTCAAATATTTCGTTTATTTAAATCATTTTTGAGAAGAACATCATCTGAATAGTATTAATTCATGTTTATTTCAAATTTTGATATCTTCATTTCTGATTTAAACTTCCTCAAAATTAAAGGATAAAACGAAATGATTTATAAAAAAAAAGAATAAAAAACATAACAGCGTTCCCTTTGAATTCCTTGGCTCTATGCGATAAATTCAGCCAATGCAATGAAAGAAATTTAAAACGTTATTAGAGGTCGCGTAGGCTAACCTTAAGCACGATTTGGCAGGCTTCTTCTGCAGATAACGTAGGAAGAGCGGATAACCTTTTTATTAGAGTCATTAGAACCTCACGCTGGGTTTATAGATAGTAACGAAATTCAGAGCGTTATCCCGTGTTTTTGGTTAGCTCTTATTTGTAATATTGGTCGTATCGACCCACCGATGACTCTTCTTTAATCTCAGCTCATTTCCGGAGCAAGACTTTAGTGTTATATTTCCCCCTAGCATCAAACAGATGGTAACTCTGCACTGTAATTATGCTATTAATAAAGCTATAATAACGCCACTGAAGCGCGATATTACATTTCGTGTTTCATTATTGGTAGTTTCTGATCAGAGGCGAGTTGTGATTTTCCCTTTGCTAGTTTAGGTCGCGACACTCGAAGTTCGTGTTAAAGTATGTGCAAACGGTGCCATAAACTGTATTAGATATTAAAGTAAATGGCTTCATCTGATGTATTGGAAAATAGATAGATTACTGTGTTTTGTAGTCCACGGTGTGGTTGGCCGAAAGTGTTTATTGAAGATAGTGTGAAGCCGTTGCCAATGAATGACATGAAGCACTCCATAAGTACCAGAACAACGCTTGAAACATAGAAACCACGGAACTATAGCAATGCTACAATTTAACAGTGGTAAAAATGTGTGTGTGTGTGTGTGTGTGTGTGTGTGCGTGCGTGTGTGTGTGTGTGTGTGTGTGTGTGTTTGAGAGAGAGAGAGAGATCCAAAAAAGTTAAGTTTGAGACCCTGGGCACGAGCCCCTGTTTCTTACTTTTTGTTATTTCTTTCCTGTTTTTCGTTTTGTTAACGTCACCACACGTCATTATACAACTGTTACCCAGAAAACATGCCATGGCATATATTAGTGAGTATCAACACATAACAGCCGCTACTTAGAATCACAATAAAATTGGCGAGAATGTCAAGAGAACGTGATAATTCTAAATCCTCGTTAAATACTCTGATAGGCTAAATGGCAAGACAATTCCTTACAATTAGATTTGTTAGATATTGTTTTCAAAGAAGAAAATCTCTGTGTGAAAAGGATTGAAAAAGCTATTTACTATGAAGTAGTAGTGTTGACATCAAACGTGCATTTCGATACAGGCTGCATGCCTATATAATGCTAACGAAGCTAAAAGCGCTGCTAGAGGCACGTTCAATACACAGAATAATGCTAAAATAAAACATAAGTTAGAGTTGTACCCTTGAAATTCAAGTTTTGACACCTTTTGTCAGGTTTGATATTACGCCCTACAGTACATTGTAAAATCCTTCCGCGTTCCAGATTTTTTTCCAGATTTAATTGCATGTGGTGTCGTTAACAAGTGTGGAAACAAACTCCGTTCTAAAGCCATTCACATGTAACACGAGAATACTGCGTTAGCATATTTAGAGCGCGGATATATCTTATACTGGTGTGAAAATTTCATAGTAGAAATCTTAGAAACGAAGGCTTTTCGGGGAAAAGTAATCAAACAGCAAACAGACGCTACGTAAGACTTCACCAACAACAATCACTCATTTTACAATGTCCGTTGTAAGGGCATTTCAGTACAAACAGATAGTGGATTGATATGACCCCGAACTCTCTCTCTCTCTCTCTCTCTCTCTCTCTCTCTCTCTCTCTCTCTCTATATATATATATATATATATATATATATATATATACAGTTACAAGTCTTTGCTTTGAAAAGCTACTCAGTTTGTTAGTGTCTCTGTAGATATTTAGCAGAGTCTTCTTTTCTGATTTGTATTGCTGCTCAGTTTCGTTTACTTTACTGTGTGGGTATTCCTCTGTGTGCTTAGGAACACTGGTAATACAAAAAGGGTATAAATTTAATACCTTTGATCACGAAATACGGTCATAAGAGATATCTGACGACTACCAACCGAGGATATGCGTTCAATATATGTGTTGACATGATTCATTGTTACAAAAAGTACCTTTTATTTCTAGGACTCTTTTTTTCTCATTCATTTGGCTTCTTGTAAAGATGGATAGGGTTTACCCGTGTAGTGGTGCTGTTGTTGAACTATATGGCTTCATTAGATATAGATGGGGTATCCATTACTGGTTTTTCTTCTGTTAGATAATAGTCATTATTGTGTGGCATCATACATCATTTGGTGCAACCATTCAGGCGTATATCAGTTTATCATCAAACGTATATGGTAAACGTCATCTTTATTCAATATGCTGTTACTTAAGGATATCAATAACAGGATTGGATTATTTTTGAGTCGTTTCAAACTGCTATACTTTTGCAAAAGCCCATCAGCTCACCTTTAAGTGAAGCATTGGGATATTTAGTAGAATGCCTTTTATCTGTCGGTCACTAACTATTATTAGTATTGTCATAATTATCGTTAATATGACTATTGATTTAATTGCTATTAAATGGTTGTTGAAAAAGCCCCACAAATCATATTTTCTACATCTGTATATCCGGCAAAGCTGCTTTTCTTTCCCAAGTCAAACTTAAAAAACGATAAAAGGCCGTGATGTTATTTGAACTAATTTATTCTATTTAAATATTAAACTATTAAACTATTTTAACATTGTGTCCAGCTGACGGTAAAAACATTGTATCCAAGTGCAGGGACGGGCAACACAATTAGTTGTGAATGGAGGGAAATGTTTTTGGGGGAAATCCATTTTGGTTGGGTAGTCCTGGATGGGATATCTTAAAGTTTAGCGTGAAATAAACACAGATGCAATTATTTAATGGAAAATCCAAGCACAAACATATTGACTTTATGTATGTTTTCATTTCAATTTCCAGAATAACCACTGACACGATCAACAATGCATACGATGAGCTACATCGTGTACTTCATAATTGCCGCCTTCTACTCTTACCTCGCCTCTTGCCGCCCTCTAGCGGAGACATCCCACTTCCCATCATCCCACACGTTGGACTCGCGCTTACACAGACTCACTGATGATAACCAGGAGGACATAGCTGCAGTGCAGAGGGCTTGGGAGACGTTGCAAAGTCAGAGAAACAGACTGAGAGACCATAGGTTGCATTCTGTCTCCCCTCAACTGAGCAACTCGAGGTTTGCATGGAGACCAGTTCAAAGAAAAAGGCAACTTCCGGGGTCTATGTCAGTAAATCAAGATTTAGGCGCAATTGCTGGAATGTTGAGGACCGCTTCCCATAGGTGGCAGCAGCGACAGTTGCAAAATATCAAAGCTAAATTGAACAGAATCGGCAAAAGAGGAGACATTGACGAAGCCAGCGGGCTGGATCCCGTGGACATTTTCAATGGTGATTTAGACACAGTAAGCAGCGCCATGCATGGCCCCGATAGCATATTCTCGAACTGGAACTCCGCCCCCACGTTGTCCACTGAGGTCCGACAAATGAAAGAAAAATCCACCGCAGCTTTAAGGGGGCATTTGCGAAACGGAGGCGATCACAGCGAAACTGACAAACACGAACAAAAGCAAGAAGATGAACAAAGTAGCAGCGGCAATTCTGAAACACCCCATGCGGCTATGAAACACAGCCATCATTCTCAACGGAATCCCAGGACAAGGGGAGCTCAAAGTAGTCATTCGGCGCAGGGTTTAGCGAAACGCAGCTCTTCTCCGGTTGAGGCACTTCTAGCGATGTTGAAACAGAGCAGCCCGGCTCAGAAACAATTGATACAAGAGAGAATCCGCGTTCTCACAAAACGTCTGGAGACAGGGACGTCCGATAGTGCAACAGGTAGGGGCAATCAGTTCTTCTTCTTCTTCTTTATATTCTGTTAAGCTTTAGCACACTTCTTTCCTTGATAAATAGAAACATATATAGAAATTGATTTTTTTTACCAAAACGATTAAGTTCGAGTACTTTTATGGCAACCTTGTAAGCCATAGTTTGTATAGGGTTAACAATTCAGCTTTAATCGAGAACTAGGCAGAAAAAATTTGCAGATATACAGACACTAAAGAGCTAAAAAAAAACATTGCACAATAAATGACCATGCCAGGCTTTAAAGGCATCACCGCTATACATCGTCAGTAAGGTGGATAATGAATATGTCTGCCTGTCACTTGTAGGTACACAGCAGCCTATCTTGACCCAGAGGCGACAGCTATCGGTGAACGGAGCATTACATGCCATTTCAGACATGCTCAGTGCACACCGCGCCAGACAGCGCCTCACAGCGGAAGAAAGATTACACAACTTAGGGTGATTCTATCAGGTGAGTTTTTAAAATGTGAAGTTTACTTTGTTTTTTGGGGTAATACCAGTTCATGCTCTTATAAATGGTACAAGTATTTAATATACAAAAAAAAAAAAACAAAAAACATATAGCTAGCACTTTAATTTGAAATTTAGAAATGCTTGCTCTGGTAAAGTCTACTGCACAAAGTTTGATTTCAATGAATAACGAGCGGCTAATGATAAAAGTATGAACGTGTTATTGACAGATCCATGTGATAATAAATGCTTCTTTTTGCACTTTGGATAAATAAAGATTCATCAGTAAATATGCCAATTGTGGGATAATAGATATTAATAAGGCATTGATGATCATTCCAATAGCAACAGATTTGAGAAACAATATGAGAAACAGATTTTATCTGTACCCCGACTATTCTTTTATGTGATTAAATAAGTGGATAAATAAAATCTATAATTCTATAATTCTATAATGTAATATGATTATATTATATCTATGATTCTTTACAATATTTACAATTACCTATTTCATATGTTTTTCGTATAGGCCTACTATTGAATTTCTTCTTTTATCATATATAATGCGAAACTGAATCTAATGATATTGTTGATGTGAATTAAACGGCCACCTTTAGTAAAATACATATGCTACATAGTTTCTTTACTTTGAATTTGTTTTTTCCAGAATCCACATCCAAACTGATCAATGAAAGGACATGGCCGTTTTACTACTTTCCATTTAACTTTACCTTTGGAATCTGACAAAAAAAGGTTCTAGAAGGCAAAATGCATTCCATATGAGGGAACACCACATCACAAGGTCGACTGTACAGAAGATAAAACATACAACATCTGGATGTAAAATTACTTACATTACCGTATATTCTAGCAGTGACTTCAACAACTTGTCGCCTCATTTGCTTTCGTTGTTACCAGTGGTTTCTTTTTGGCCAACGGACGAGACTTGGAAAATTTGGGCAAAAGAAACACACTTTAATGCTGTTGACGACACAGTAGTTGTTTTGTTATTTACTTATTTTGGACTGATGGAGTTAATTAGATATTCAGTTGCGGATATATTGTCGTTTCCCGCTTTTTGAAGACAAGCAACAGATGGGGATGAGATATATTCGACATTTTGTGAGATTATTTAAGATTTTTACTCTTGATAATGGCAATATGCCAAAAATGCTAATTTACTTCAATTTTGATTTATTAATTATTTTAGCCATTTTATATTTTCGGCTGTGAACTATTTTGGATGATTTTGGTAAATATTTCGGGGTTCCTCTCTGCAATTGTGTGAATTCATCTCGCCGTTTTACTATATGCTGTATTACCGATTCATAACTATAACTATATGTAGTTTTGAATCGGTTTTACGTTTATTGTTTCTAGAAACATTTGGCGTGAATATCGATATGTTAGAACGCAATGCAGTAAAGATGCGATGGTTCTTCAAAAAAAAAAAAAAAAAAGGAAAGAAAGAAATCAGGCGATATTGATTTGTGTGTCGATGTTGTTTTAATCATTTGTACAGCCAATCAGATCTCTGTCTCCAATGAACGCTTCTTATCAGTTAGTAAATAACGTATCACATTTGTATAGTGACGTATCTGTAAACCGATAGCAAAACAAATGTCGTAATATTTGCTCGGTACGTGGTACAATGTGTTGTCAGTTGGTATCTCGAAGACGTTATATGCTTTCAAAATGAAGAATCAACTTAGTTCTGACAAAATATGGAGAAACTGGCCTGTGACTCCTTGAAATTGGGTTAATCTGAAAATCAGTGATAATTGAGATTAGTATTTCCTTGGCCATTCGCCTAATAAGCAACTTGTATATTAGCCGATATTCTATACTATATGTGGCTCTTGTGAAATAGAGTCGAGTGTTAATTGAAGAAATCGTACTCTGCATTTTGACAAGAACCATATTCTCTTTCATGGGGAGCAGGCATAATAACAACACTTGTAGATTTTGAAGAGAAACCAAAAAGAAAAGAGCTTCAAGTTTAGCGATTTGCAATACCGCTACAATCAAGCAAATTCTGAAAAGACTGAAAAGGCTTTATGGAACTTTACTTTTGAATGTAAACCATTCCATGTTACATTTCAATGATTGCAGAACTCTTTACTGTATAATAACGTTACTTAGATTTCTTTACTTTTGTTACAAAAGGTCATCAATAGACTCCAAATGCAAAGCCAGAAATGTTCATTAAGTTAATCGTTAGCCAACACGGTTAATACAACTCAAAGGACATAATTAGAGCTGGTGTACAGAGAGATATCAGATACTTTATCACATGCTTATTTTTCAGTTCTCGTAACTGCACTTAACATAGCTAATACAGTTGAAAGCAGCACAGTATATCTTAAGCTGTGTTATTTCCAGTGTAGTCATATGTACATTTATTTTTGTAATTGTTGTTGTATACACAACGTTATTTTAGGTAGTGTAAATGTGTAAATATAGATTAACTTATTAAAATCGGGTGTCGCGTGGTGCACAAGGTAGCCCTGGTGCAAATATTACTTACAAGCGGATTGGTCATAATTGCAAGGGAACGCATTTATACTCCTTGTTCGTTTCCCTGCAGCTGTGAGAAAATAAGTTAAGATGAAAGTGACATCATGCTTTGACGTCATGACGATGCAGTGGACCTGGATCTCAGTTAGATAATGGAACGCAGGTCGCAAGTCTAAACTATCTCTATTTGTAATGTCAGGAATTGTAACTGAGTTACTAGCCAGAGTCTGAGAATTTCCCGGCATATTAAGATGTTAAGAGCTATAGCTCCGTAGTTCCAGATCGTTTTAGCAAAACTGCAAACACTGTCTGTTTAATGAATAAATTTAATTCATGAAGCAAAACAATTTCGTTCTTTATTTTAATTTTCAATATATATATATATATATATATATATATATATATATATATATATATATTAAATATACATCGATCAATTGCAGTTGTGAAATGAAATATAGGAAAGAAAAATGATTCAATAAAAGTTAAGTATTCATGCGTTTTATTACAAAGTCTCTGACAGTTGAAGTTATTCTGTAAATGGCCCCCTTATCGGCAAACGGATACCTCGTATTAACGCCTTGAATCTTGTGCTGAGAAACAGCGATTCAATGAACAAGAAATCAACACATCATTAATTCAGAGATTTTTCTGTCGGTGTTATTAAATGTTTTATTTCACCATACATACTTTGCAGAAAGGTGCAAAAACCCTCTTGGAAATGGCTTTTAATATACCGGTTGTGTTAAAAACTTAACCTATTTCATTGTCCAATTACTTCAACAGTTCTGATGATGTTCTCATTAAATTTGGGGTATTTTGAGAAAATAATGTTTTCAATAACTGGCACAATTTAAAGAATCTTCTTTTCTTAGTTTTGACATACCGAACATCTTAAGCCAAGATGCCGAAACTGCCAGACACTGGCACCTGTCAGATGACATATAGGCCGGCATGGCATTTTTTTTTTTTTTTTTTTGACTTTACATTTTTTTTCACAGTGCCAAAACTAAGAAAGGTAGAGTCGTGAAATTTTCAACATTTATTAAAACATAATTTTCCTAAGATATACCAAATTTTATTGCAATATCTTCAAAACCGTTGAAGTCATCGAACTTTGAGATAAGTAACATATTTCCGCCAGGTGATATACCCCGGCATAAACGATAACTACGTGAGGTTTTCTTTATTTTTCATCGCCCTTTTTTTTTTTTTTTTTCAAACTGTATTGTCAAATATTCCCATCATATATCTATTTTACGTGAGAAATAACTCCAGTCTGTATCTCGTCTACTTAGTAATGCTCCATCCATGTACACTTTACGTCCATTTTATATGTTTTTCTATGAAAATTAACACCCCACAATCGTTAAATAATGAGGAGGCGCATGGAAATGAAGGAAAGTTTGACAATTCCTTATTGTTTGATTATATAAATAGTTCAGTAGATGGGCTTTCTTTTAACGCATTGACTTGCTACGTGGTGCCCTTCATTTGAGACAGTAAGTTGAAGAGGAGCGTGCTAATGAAGCCTAGTAGGTGGAGAGAAAACAAGTAGGCGAGGGATTGATCTATGTGCCAGTGTCCAGAGTCCTTCAAAGATTATTGCATGTTGTTTATACCCCCTTTACACTGGACGGCGTCCTTTCTGCGTCCTTTCTGCGACCATGAAATTTGGCATCGCTGTGGTCTTAATAAGGAGGCACGAGCATTAATTTTTATCAGAATGAATGCTCAATGATCAGCCAGTTGTCGGCACGTAAAATATTATAATTTTTAAACTCTCAAATGGGGCCGGACTGCTGGACGCAGAAAGGACGCCGTCCAGTGTAAAGGGGCCCTTATCGACTATTGAGACTTCACAGGTGATAATGGGTGACAACGATGATAGTGATAGATCGTCACATCTGGGAAAATGTCGTTAATAGCCTGTGGTTCGAGAGTGAGATATGTTATCTAGCCTAAAACCCCCTTTACACTGGACGGCGTCCTTTCTGCGTCCAGTTTGAGAGTAAAATGAAATAAAATAATACTTAACGTGCCGATCATTAAGCACTCATTCTGCAAGAAAGCGACGCTTGTGCCTCCTTTCTGCGACCACAGCGATGCCAGTTTCATGGTTGCACAAAGGACGCAGAAAGGACGCCGTCTAGTGTAAAGGGGTTTTTAGCAAAGACGAGGGAAAGGCAACCCTGACTGTTACTCTCCAACTGCTATTTATCCAACAAAATATCTTCAAATTAGCTGATCACCAGCTTCACTATTAAACTTTCTCGCATCTTCGGGTCATTATTAGGGCAAAAGATTAATTAAAGTTCTCTCTATGTCATTTGGTGCTATTTACTATATTTGTCGTGCAATTGATTGCTTGTTGTGAGATGGTCCATCGTTCTCCCGGAGGATTGATTGTGAAACGATCACTCTCTGCCCAGCACTGCCGATCCTTGCAGACGATCTCGGTGAAGGACTCTCTACAGATTGCAGATATTCGTGCAACATGATAGAGATCCAAAAGTTAAGGAACTGGCACATACCGGAGGTAAACCTAGTGTTTCATTTAGACAATGTCACAGATTTGCACTCACTTTAGGCACCTTGCAGGTTAGCAGGCAGTAATATCGGTTTTCTTATCACAATCATCAATCAGTGAATAATAGGAACAAATATTTTCAAGATATAATTATTTTTATTAGGTGCACATTAGAGTTTTCACATTTGTCGTTTGGTTTGTAACGGCCAAGCGTGCCTCACATTACCTGTCCCACTTTGACACACACTGATTCGATTCTATTTGCAAGCCTCAAAATCATTATGACTTGAGTTGAACATAACATTCCCATTTGACAAGTATTTCATAACAAACGACCTTTATTGCTGTGGAATATATTTCAGATGTCTACAAAATACATGACGGACAATAGATGTTCAGATTATCAATTTTCAAGAAGCTCAGACTCAAAATGAAAACCTGTCAACTCCATTTTGATGAACTCCGAGCGTCTTCAGAGAGGCGATGCAAGGCATGGATCAGAGCCTGATAATTACTGTATCAGAATTGGTAGAAAAAAGGTGTGATATTTGTTGATTGAAACTAACACTTACATAACAAATACAGAATCATTTCTCATTATCAGCACAATCTAGATGAACTCTGCAGAGCTACCGTGATTGCTACGGCCACACTGGAAATTGTGTTGGGTGGGATCTGGCTGTGTGAGACATCGGGATTAAAAGTGGTAAAAGTAAATTTATGTTACAGATTTAATCCATAGAAAGCGGTATTACATGTTGTATGACAACAAAATAATTAATATGTTACACATAATACTCCGGTTGTTC